CCTCACTAGCACACCACTCGCTCCCTCACTCTGATACCATTTGTAACAGCCCAAGCCCACCACTAGCAAATATCGTCCGCTTGGACTCATTACATATCTCCATCCGCCTCACGATTTTAAAACGCGTCAGAGCTTTTCACACCCTTCTCCAACCAACTACTCGGAATTACTCTTAATTAATCTCTTAAAATAACCCTAATTGTGAATTTATTAGTTGACAATAATATAAACCTTTTCATCTTTCTACAAATCTTAAAATTTCATGCCCATATATATATATATATATATATATATATATATATCCAAATCATCTTTGTGTTCCTTTTTCAGTACTAAGCTTTAATGAAATTCTTCAACCCTTTTCATCTCTCTATCAATTCTTCTTCTCATCTTACCATGTTGAGGTTGGTTATCGAGTTGAAGCACCACCTGGTTTTCGATAAAGCTCTTTGGTTCTTCGTCGAAGCTTTGAACGCGATCGCTTTCGCTTTGTTTCTATGCCTTCTTGCTCTAGGTATGTCTCGTCTCAAGAAATTATTCGAATAGCTATAACAATACAGGTTAGAGAAATACACGATAACCATACGAGTTATGGTAGTTGGGAGGAGACGACTATATTGAATAATTTTTTGTTTCTATCTCTTGAATTTGTAGTTGGCGCATCGGTGGGAACGGTGATCGGAGCTTTCAAAGGCCATGGCGCTGCCATAGGGGCTATAGTCGGTGCAGCCGCAGCCCTTCAGCTATTGAGCTGCCCCGAACCGGAGTATAGATATTCTTTGTCAAAGGTAGGGTTTTCAATATTAAAGGTTCAAGTTCTTACTTGTTATTAAATTATAAGTTTACGTTCGTAAATCAAATACTTTTAAAAAATTTACGAATTAAATAAACCAAAGTTGAGGGACTAAAAGTGTAATTTAACTAAATTTAAATTTTTTTATGGTGGCAGGAAGCAATAATGGAGAGTCTAATGAATGGGAAGGGGTTGATGAACTGGGTAAGTGAAAAAGCTTGAATGCTGCCATTAATGGCGGATTTCAAGATCCTTCATATTTCTAAAGCAAAACAAAATTTTCAGGCGAGCAACTTCTCGGAGTATATGTACCGAGAGATGTCGGAGTTCGTCGACGTCGCCGGAGAAAGCTGTGTGGAAGGGATGTCAATGGAGAGTGTTCAAAACTTGCCTATTTGTGAATATGATCATAGCAAGATGAAGAACTCCATTTCTTGTCCCATTTGCTTAGAGGTAATACATACATACATACATACATATATATACATACATACATCTCATACATACATACATATATATACATACATACATACATACATATATATACATACATACATACATACATATATATATATATACATACATACTTATATATATATATATATATATATATATATATATATATATATATATTATTTTTGTTTTTTTTTTGGTTTTTCTTTTTGGTTTCTTAAATTTCTTATAATTTCAAAAAAATTAAAAAAAAAATAATTACATTTTTTTAAAAATGAAAAAGAAAAACTAAGAGTTTAAAAAAATGTAAATTAATTATTTCGTTGGCTTGAAAATATATTTTATTGAATATCTTAACTTTAATTTCAATTTTAAATTTATTTTATATTTGTTTAAGAATTTATTAAATATAATTATTTAAAATATACGTATTGTATAGTATGACTAAGAAAGTTGACCAAACTTTAAATATGAGTTTTATTATTGTTGTTATGAATAATTAATATTGTTGACCTAACTAAAAATAAATTAAAAGAAATTTAATATCGTTAAACTCGAAATTTTGAATTGATTTAGTTAGTGATTCAAACAACTCGAATAGAGTTCACAACTCAACACTCAAACATTATGTTGGGTTGGATTGTCCGGTTGTTTTTGTTTTTTTCAAAAAAAAATTATACTTATCCACAACACATGTTATATTAATAATTAAAATATCATAAAATTCAAATATCGTGCATTCACAAATCATAACGTATTGCTAACATCGATTACAAATGTTAAATATTCTTAATTTTCATAATAATCTTAAAAGTAGGGTAGTGTAGGGTTTGTTGTAGCTCTATTTTGTGGTTGGTCGGGTTGCCTCGAAAAAAAATGTAAACCCAGGAACTAATCCGAAGTTTTCGATCTTTAAAAAATTCAACCCAACCGACAATTCGAATTGATCAAGTTCTTGGGTCATATGAATACCCGTTAATTATCTCGTTTTTATTAATTATTATCGAGTAAATTATATATTAATTAATTAATAATTATTATTATTATTTTTATTTTTCAGGAATTTGAAGTTGGAGAGTTTGGTAGGAAACTTCCAAATTGTGATCATTTTTTTCATGTGGATTGCATAGATCAATGGCTACGATTGAATGGATGTTGCCCATTTTGTAGAAAATTTTGTAATTAAACCATACCTCATAATATTCTCAAATTAATTTTTTTTTTTAAGTCACCGTCATTATTAATATTTGAAAAAATATATTAAAAATAAATTAATTGAAATTATGATAATCTCTTAGCGAATTTTATACGCTAATATTTTAAATTCATATATTTTTTTTTAGCTTTTTTTAATATTTAAAAATATAATTTTTAAAATTGTTTGTAAGAAATATTTATTTATTTGTTTAATTTAACATTTAAAATAATCTTTATTTATTTTTATAAATATGATAATTGATGCTTTATATTTGGCCCTTCCTTTTTGACTTTTCAATGATGTGAAAGTACGATTTTACCCTTGTTTTAAAAATGTTTTCAAAAAGTTTTATTATTATTATTATTATTTGGCTCATTTGAAGGAGATTTGGGTTTTTGAAACTAAAAATTTAAACCTTCTTTAAGAAAATGACTCAATTCTAAGTGGATTAGATAAATTCGATTAAAATTTGTAAAGTTAAAGTAAATTATGGTTAAAATTCATGTATTTTAGCCAAATTTTGATTCAACTTCATCAACTCACTCGACGATAGAAAGTCGAGTTATGTTGTGAACTCTATTTAGAAGGACGAGGAAAGTTCTCCATAGGAAACCCTTGATGCAGCTCATTTTTATGGCTTTTGTGTGGTCTAAGCTTTTATCCTTTTGAACAAAATTACATGTTAAATGTTGTTCTATCTGTGAGGTGCTAGATCGGTTGGAGAGTGGAACGAAACATTGTCTCTAAGGGTGTGGAAATTTCTCCCTAATAGATGTGTTTTAACACCTTGAGGGAAAGTCCGAAAAGGAAAGCTCAAAGAGGACAATATCTGCTAGTGATGGGCTTGGATTGTTTCAAATGGTATTAGAGCCCGACACCGGATGATGTGTCAATGAGGGAGCTAAACCCTGAAGGGGGTGGACACCAGGCGGTGTGCCAACGAGGACGCTGGCCTCAAAAGGGGTGGATTGGAGGGTCTTACATCGATTCGAGAAGGGAACGAGTGTCAGTGAGGATGTTGTGTCACAAAGGGGGTGGATTGTGAGATCGCACATCGGTTGGAGAAGGGAGCGAAACATTGTTTATAAGGGCGTGGGAACTTCTCTCTAGTAGACGCATTTTAAAACCTTGAGGGAAAGCCTGGAAGGAAAAGCCTAAAAAGGGCAATATCTTCTAGCGGTAGGTTTGAGTGGTTACAAATGGTATCAGAGCCAGACACCGGGCGATGTGCCAGCAAGGAGGCTGAACTTTGAAGGGGGTGGACACCAGGCGGTGTGCCAGTGAGGATGTTGGGTTCCAAAGGGGGACGAAATATTCTTTACAAGGGTGTGGAAACCTCTTTCTAGTAGATAGCATTTTAAAACCTTGAGGGGAAGTCTATAAGAGAAAACCCAAAGAAGACAATATCTGCTAACGATAGGCTTAGACTGTTGCACTAGAGAAGTTTTTTTGTACTATGTTAACATACAATCTCTCTTTTGTATCATTTCATTTCATCAATGAAATTGTTTCGTATCAGAAAATAAACCTCCGCCGGCGGTTTGTGACCCCACGAGTCAGATTAAGAGAAAAAGTTTAAAGATAAAGATCAAGTTCTTGACATATAACTTCTTAATTGTTTCTAAAAGTATGGGGCTCTCTCTTGTCTGTAGCTATGCCTCATGTTCATTTTTGTGCTACTTCTGTTGCAATGTACATTAGGTATGTTATGGACCACGATAAGCACAAGGCTGCCGAGCTAAGACAGGTTCGTTCTTATTTATAGTGTTTCGTCGTTATTGGAACTACCCTACATTATACTGCTTTCTATCATATCTTTCTTGAAGTTCATATTTGTATTCTTCACTCGGAACATAAGCCACAATATGATTCTCTTGAAGGTCATAGCTGCAACAGTAGCAAGTGATCCAACAAGGTATTGTGAAGCGTTCCCCACTGTCTTGTGTTTCTAGCCTTAGATGATGGGCTAAGTGTTTTGTTGAACTTCCTCATGGATTTCTTGAATATGTTGCTTTGTGTCACAATCGCGCTCTTACGGGACGTTTGTAAGCGATTGTGCAGCATTCACTCTCACTACTGAGTGAGTCAAATTGTCTCGCCTTCAGCCCTACGATATATACCCATGTCTTAGACCTTGTTTGTAAGTAAGATTTGAGAGAAATGAAGAAAGCAATGTTATAGGTCATAAACGAAAAAGGCAATACAATAGCTTAGATAACATATAGCTCCGGGTAGAAAGAATTGATGTCTAGTCGCATCCATCCTCCAAGTGAGATATTTCAAGTCTACCAAGCGTGGACATAATTATGTTGAAACGTCTTACACTTAGAAAATACAATGAAGAAACTATACATCATGAAAGGGGTAAAGGAAAGCAATAAAGTGATACAACACAAGGGTTTTGACATGCATCGGGCATGCAGCCATGTGCAACACGCCTTGGACAAGCATAACTGTGACATTTTGCATGTTTGCTGCACTCTTTGTTCTTCTAATAGTAAACTGTAAACCAAACCGAAACATAAGAAAGCTTTAGGTGTAGCTGGACTGATATCAAATCTATTTCAGTTCGTTTGTTCTTTTTAATCTCATTTTCTCTTACACAGGTGCAATTGAGCTTTCGATACTATTCGAGTATTATGGGCTTGAAATTGCAGCTTACGATATCCAGACCAAACGATGTGATTTGTATGGTCAGGTTAGGATTTTCAGTTCCTATGACCCCAAGAGTAATCCTTTCACCGTTGACAGGAAAGGAAGTATTCAGAAAGGGTTCTGCTGATATATGATGGACTCCACTATGATGCTTTAGTTGTATGATTTTCTGATTCCCTCAAATATAATAAAGCAAGATGACCTTGATAATATGTTCTTTTGTATGAACAGTACCTTATAAAGCATGATCCCTTTGTCTTTGATTGTGTCTGATATATGAATCTTGGGTTCCTGCATCTTTGTTCTTGTCAGATGTCTCCATCTGAGGGAGCTCCAGAGGAATTTGATCAGACCATATTTTCTGTGAATCGGGACAGGACAATTGGTCCCATTGAAGGGCAGGCTCTTCATTTTGTTGAAGAACAGCAAAGGTAGGATCTTGTGTAATGATGAAAGAAACTTGAAGAACTCTTTGAATGTTTCGGCTTCCTGCATCTTAATATACGCTTGCACGTTTCAGGAAACGGAGATTCACCGACACGGCCAACTTCACGCTGCGATGTGGGGTTTGCCAAATCGGAGTCATCGGCCAGACGGTAGTCCTTGTCGAAATTCATTGCTTGCTTCATTAATTCTTCAAACTCTTGTAATTCATTTAGAGAATCCAATGTTCAGGAGGCTGTAGAACACGCAAAAGCCACTGGCCATGTCAACTTCCAAGAGTATAGATGACAGGAAGAATGTTTGACAAAACAATTGAGCTGTTCGGTTTCAGCTATATCGACCTCAACTCCTTCGGCTTGTTGAATTGCTGTGGCATTCTAATTGTCATATTACCATGAATGTTTCATATTTACTGACCAGTGTTGTTCATATTGTGATCTCTTGGGACTGAGCTTCTTTTCTTTGTTCTTGTCCCTTGCTTGTCGATAACATCATATGTTCTTTTACAAAATTTCTAAACTATGGTACTTTCCAAAATATAAGATCAGCTCTTAGGGAATCCAAAGGGATATTCGGAAGGTTATCAATCGATTGATAAGTGTAATGTTCGATACATTTGGAGAAAATAGAGGTGGAAATTATCTTGTTTTATGAAGCCTCATTCGTTTGAATCTTACACTACAGTAAATATATAATGTCGTCATGTCGCTGGCTTGACGAAAATCAACCTTTACACCCGCATAAAATCGTCGAGGAAGCCATTGCTATCAGCCTCTATATCTTCTGCTTAAGGACATGCCGCAGCTGTAGTTTATGGCCTTCCTTCACATTCATTTGGCCTTTCATCTGTCGAGCTATTTGAGCATCACCTAAGTCGAAGGAACTCCACTGATCCATGAAATCTGGACTAGACCCACCATGAGGCTCCTTTACTGGTATCATCTTGTTGCTGTCGCCACCATTGTTATGGCCGGATTTCCAAAGCTTCTTCGTTAAGTTTGATACTTTCTTTGATTTCCTTACAAGTTCTGAATAGACTTCACTGATGTTGATTGTTGTTTCTCCACCTCCGTGTTCTTCCCAGTCTGTTACAGTCTCTGAGCCTGTCGTGCTGCTACTATTTTCACTATTCTTATTACCGGGTCGTGTCGAGCTTCCTTCGGGCGAATAACTCGAGCCCTGATCCTCAATTTGGCTCACTGTCTCCCATCCACTCTCGTCGTCCATGTTTCCATTCTGATTAAAGGCTGCCATCAGAGTGCCATCCGCTCGTTTACCTGAATCTACATTTATGTCGGGGCTCGCTGTTCCGACTTTAGAGATTTCAGTCGCCGGACTGTAAGAACTGTATGGCTTAACCTCCCTCTCATGTTTTTCATCAAAATTAACTTCTTCAAAGATGGAGAAAATATCATCTGGCTTAGAAGGTTGGTATGATAAGTGCTGTATGTCTTGGATGTTCATTGCAGAAGCAGCCTGTTCAAGTAATACAGCTTCTTTCATCTCCTTAACGTCTGAGATTGCTCCCTTTAATCTTAGAAAGTTTTCAAGATCAGCAACAAGCTTGTTCATCTGAGAGTACTTCTCTTCGACCGCTACCTTCGCGTCGACCAGCTTCATTTGAACGCGTTCTTCGCGCCATACTTCTGCTAACTGCAACATCTTCCTCTCTTCTTCCACTTCCTCTCTAAATAACGCAGATTCTCTCTTCGATGCCTCTATTTCTGCCTTATCATCTCCAATTTCTTTAGCAAGCTCTTCACATACTTGTTCAATCAATACCCTTTCTTTCCTTTCTTCTTCATAGTCCTGCATCAGCTGCTTCACCAAGGACTTCGCATCAGCTAGCTCATGAACCAGTTTTGAATTGAAATGCTCTACTCTTCTTCGATTTTTCTTTTCATGGTTCAATTCAGTCCTGATGCTTTCTATAAACACACGTACTTTCTCATGTTCCCTCATACGCCATACAGTCTTTTCCTCATCAACCTTTCTCAAGAAGCTCTCAAGCTTCTTCTTCGATGCATGGCGTTCCGTTTCGAGTTCCGAAATGCGCACCCGTGCTTGCTTGAGTTCAGCTTCAAGGGAAGATATAACAGAAACCAGGCTCACTTGCTGGTCAAGAAGCTCTCTTCGATTGTAAACATGGTCCCTTTCAACTGGAATTTTCGAGCCAATAGGGTCCCATTTAGTTGCCCCTTCCATAACTGAGTTGGAGAATTGAAAGAACGGTTCAATCTGATGGCAGGGATGGGAGATGTAAACACTTCAAACTTTATTGCAATAACTTCAAAAGAAAAAAAGAGAGGAATCTTAAGGTAGTGTCATTACCTTGCTCAGAACGCCATTTCTCATACCAGAAATTGAGGTTTGGCCCTGTAACAGATGCCTCGTTTCATTACTGAATATGTTGTTATTGTGATGATGGCGGAGAATTGGAGCACGAACATGGCCAGCAACAGGCTGCAAGATGAATCATAAATGATCACAACAATGAACTGAACTGCAAAACTAGAGGCGAAATTACATTGATTCCTAAAACTCATCTAATCGCAGTTATTACAACAATTTCAGAAATAGAAATCAAAGATCCAATCCCGAACAACGTAGCAGTTTTTCAAAATTTTGATTCCGAGTAAAGAGAAAAATGCACACTCAATCTTCGTCAAATGCTAATCATACAAACAGAATCACAATTCAAAACGAGATTTCCAAATAACAGTTACCTGAAAACCGATCCCCTGCTCCACCGTGCGTCTCAAACCGCTCCTTCCTCCATCAGCGCTCACCTCCGGCTTCTGAAACCGCCAAAAACCAGCAGCGAGCTTCCTCGCCGATACGACCACATCTCTTTCCCCACTCATCCGCCGGAGATCTTTCTCTCCGTTCTCCGATTCCGACTTCTTTTCGTCTTCGTCTTCTTCACCTCTACCATCAACTCTGTCGTCGACCTTCCACTTAAGAAGTGGAGTCTGCGGCCTACTCCTCCGCCCGGTCGGCACCGACTTCCTCTTAATCAACGAAAGATTTCGGATCCTCCGTCGAGAATCCTTGCGTGAACTTGGCGTCTGCTGAAGATCTAATTCCGGCGATAAGTTCACTGACTTCGAATAGGTGAATGTAGGAGCCTGTGGAGACTTCCCCGGCCGCAGAAGCTTCATCGTCGTCTCCATCCAATTGGAAGGAGGAGGAGAAAATCGCAGTGGAGAATCGATTTTCCAGTTTTTTGAGCGAGCTCGTTGAGCTATGGCAGAGACGAATTGACCAAAATGCCCTTCCAAAGATACCTTACGAAGTGATATACATTTAATTTAATAATTCTATAGAAAATAATTAATGTTCTATAATTAAATATTTGGTCAGAAATCTCCTTTTCTTTTTTAATTAAATATCCTCCTCCTTCATCCATCTCTTTTTTATTTATAAAAATCTATAAATTAAAAAAAAATAATTATATTCAAACCTTATATTTAAATTAATTACATATTAAATAATTATTTTGTAAAGTAAAATATTCTATTTATTTTTTAAAATTGAGAGATCGAATTTATTATATATATATATATATATATATTTAAAATAAGGTTTGTATTTAAAAAATAATAAGAAAGGAAGGGTATAATTGTAAAATAAAAATGTTTTTTCTTTTTAAATTTGTATTTATAAATCGAAAGACATTTAGACAAAATATATTCAGAATTTTGTAAATCGTACTAAAAGAAAAGGCTCTGACAGATCGTCTCATGGATTCGTTTGGAGGGAGGAAACGACACGTTGGTTGAAAGCCACGCGCGTAAACAAGCGGTGTGAAACGCGCTGAAGAATCCGAACGTTGGAGAAAGGAAACGACGTCGTTTATGGCATCTGAAAGCCGTTTCGAGGAGACTATTTGAAATAAGGCTTTCCGCGTGGGCGTCACTCTCCCAAGTCTGGACAAATGAGCGGTGGTTGTAAAGTGAACAGAGAGCGGGCCCCGTTTTATAAGCATGGGGTATGGATTTTAATTTTGTAGCCAATAAAAGACTGCCACGTGGATAGCCTTGTAGTTCGGTCCGAATTTAATCGATTTTCGAGACTGTTAATGTTGGAGAAAACATATAGATAATAATTTTATGATTACACTTTCTACTTTTATCTTTGTTTAATTAATTAAAGTTTTTAGTTTATGTTTGATTTTGGTCATTATTCTATTACCCATCGGTTATCGACTTTAGCTTAGGAGATTAGCGCACGTGGCTACGAATCACAGTGTCGGAGTTCAAATCTCTCATAACCGATAACTGGACAAAAAATTTCTTGAATTTTTAAAATGTTAGATAAACACGACTCTCCACAATTATATTGTCCACTTTTAGCCTTCAGTTTGAACTTCACAAAATGCCTCATACGAACAGAGATAGTATTCATAGGTTATAAACTCACGATCATTTCTAAATTAGCGGAGGAGAGGGACTTTTCTTTTTCATCCAACATAAAATATATATTTTTATTTCTAAATTTTTAAATAATAATCATTTTATTGCAGTCGTATATTATTAATTTTTGAAAATAAAAGAAGAGAACTACTAAAATAATCATCTTAAAAAATATATTTAAATTAATTTGTTTATAAAAAAAAAACTAAATTATAAAAAATATTTATCTTTTTTTCACCGTCACTATTCCTTAAAAAATTACAATAATACCCTTAATATTTTATAAACGTTTCAAAATTAATAAAGTAGCTTACGCGGTTGGAAAGAGAATTACTTTTGAATAAAATAGAATTACAACTTAACTTTACGCTATCTTACTTTTAAAATTATTACGAAAATTAATATTGATTTGAATGTTTGAAATTTGAGTTTTACAAAATTTTGGTTATTAATGTAATTTGTACCGTGAATAAGTATGATTTTTTAAATAATTAAAAAAAAAAAAAGAACCTGACAATCCAACCCGACCCAACCCAACCCAAAAATAGAAGACTAAGTTGGGTTAGGTTGTGAAGTCTATTCGAGTTGTTCGGGTCACCAACCTGACCAACTTGAAATGTTAGGTTGATCCAAAAGACTTCTGCAACCCAACCTAACCCAACCCGTGTACACCCTTAAAAACATATTTGAAGCAAACTGAAACTTCACTCGAATGTGTTTGCAGCAAGCTTCACGATAAACTGTCTAGATTTCACGAAATTGATTGATTGGGCAAATCATTCTCGATCTCCGTCCTTTGTTTCTCATTCAAATACTTATTTGAAAGAAAAAATTATTTTATTTTTATTTTATTTTATTGCTATTTTTGTTTTTTTTTAAGCTCATGGAAAAAAGTATATTCCAATTATCTTTTAACTTATATTTAATTTAACAATTTTAAAATTATTTTAATAAATACAATTTAAAATTTTATAATCTCTCATTCTATAAAATATTTAATTAATATAGAGTAACTTATTTGTACCATTTAAATAAA